CTTGCATACTAAAATCTCTGTGACCTATATTTAATGTTTAACTTTTGTAATATTTGTGCATAGTACCCATATCTCTATTTCTATATCTATATGCTTTTTTTTATGCACATTTCCATTGTGTACTTTATTACACACCTAATATAATTGATAAGGTATTGCATTCTCCTTTTAAGGATATTAGGTTATTTTACCTTTCATACATTATATATTACATAATTAATATATGTTAGGTGTAGCCAAACAGGCATTTAAAGAAATTGCAAGAAGTGCATTAGTATTTTCTTTATTCTAAAATGAAGGTTTACAATTTTTGTTTTACATTTATTATCTAATGTATTATGGAGTGGCACTACTCAACTCATGGTCATTTTGAAATCAGTAAATTTGACTCGTCTTTTTGGTTATGCAATTGTGTACAGAATTGGTGGGTTCTTGGTCTCACTGACTTCAAGAATGAAGCCACAGACCCTTGCGGTGAGTGTTACAGTTTTAAAGATGGTGTGTCTGGAGTTTGTTCCTTCTGATGTTAGGAAGTGTTTTGAGTTTCCTCCTCCTGGTGGGTTCATGGTCTCGCCAGCTTCAGGAGTGAAGCTACAGACCTTCCTGGGGAGTGTTACAGCTCTTCAGGTGGCACATCTGGAGTTGTTCTTCCACCCATCCAGAGTTCATTCCTCCTGATGGGTTTGTGGTCTCGCTGGCCTCGGTAGCGAAGCTGCAGACCTTCACAGTGAGTGTGACAGTTCAAAAAGGTGGTGTGAACCCAAAGACAAAGCAGCAGCAAGATTTATTGCAAAGAGCGAAAGAACAAACTTTCCACAGCCTAGAAGGGGACCCTACCCGGTTGCTACTGCTGGCTTGGACAGTCTGCTTTTATTCCCTTACCTGACCCCACCCGCAACCTGCTGGTTGGTCCATTTTACAGAGAGCTGATTGGTCCATTTTACAGAGAGCTGATTGGTCCGTTTTACAGAGAGCTGATTGGTCCATTTTGACAGAGTGCTGATTGGTGCGTTTACAATCCCTGAGCTAGACACAGAGTGCTGATTGGTGCATTTACAATCTTTTAGCTAGACACAGAATGCCAGACAGAAAAGTTCTCCAAGTCCCCACTAGGTTAGCTAGATACAGAGTACTGATTGCTGTATTTACAAACCTTGAGCTAGACACAGGGTGCTGATTGGTGTATTTACAATCCCTTAGCTAGACAAGGTTCTCCAAGTTACCACTAGACTCAGGAGCCCAGCTCCTAGTGGATTCCACACCAGGGCCACAGGCGGAGCTGCCCGCCAGTCCCACACCATGTGCCTGCACTCCTCAGCTCTTGGGCGGTCAATGGGACTGGGCACCATGGCGCAGGGAGTGGCACTCATCAAGGCTTGGGCCCTGCCAGAGCCCACGCGCAGGGCAAGGAGGGGGAGGCTCGGGCATGGCGGGCTGCAGGTCCTGAGCCCTGCCCTGCGGGGAGGTAGCTGATGGCCGGTGAGAATTTGACTGCAGCGCCAGCAGGCTGGCACTGCTAGGGGACCCAGCGCATCCTCTGCAGCTGCTGGCCTGGGTGCTAGGCCCCTGAGTGCTGCCAGCCGGCAAAGCTCCGCGTGCAGCCCCAGTTTCCGCCCACACCTCTCCCTCCACGCCTCCCCGCAAGCAGAGGGAGCTGGCTCTGGCCTCGGCCAGCCCAGAGAGGGGCTCCCACAGTGTTGTGATGGGCTGAAGGCCTCCTCAAGCACCGCCAGAGTGGACATTGAGGCAGAGGAGGTGCTCAGAGCGATGGCTGTTAGTACATTATCACCTCTTACAATGAGCATACTGCAATGTAGCATAGGATTCATTTTCTTATATATCCTGTAGTTAATCTTGTTGTAATTAATAAAAACTAAATTACAGAATATTTGAGGATGTGTGTCTTAATCTTAATAAACTTTATAATAAATGAGTATGGGCATTAGCAAAGATTTTAAGCTGTAAATTTATCAGCATGGAATCAGTCTCTTGACAGAAATGAAAACTAAGACTCTATTAGATAATGAAATATGAGAGGGTCTTCTAGTAATTGAAATTGGCCCTTGGGTTCTTCAGATGTCAAGAAGCAACATACTTGGGACTATTTTAAAAGTCCCCCTTTTTTTAGTCGCTCTGTGAAAATCTTGCTTAATTTGCAAACCTCTGAACATTACTGCCTGGAGTGGAGAACAATTAGATTCATTAATTTGTTTCCCTTCTCACTTGGTTTAATACATCCTCAGTAATAAAGCTTACTGACAATTGTGGGCTTGACTTTACTACTTATTAGCAAATTATACTTTAAACTGAATATTGAGTTATCATCAAGGAATGTGAATAAAAAGAGAGCATTTCAAACTGAAAAGAAAGGATTGGGGGCACATACTTTCAAAGTCATCAGATTTTACAAAATTATAATTGTTTAGAAGATAGAAAACCCAGTGGCATAACTGTTTCTTAAATTATATTTTTCTGAGTTAAAAATAGCTTGTATAATGAATAAAGATGTTTTCTTAGGCATACATTATTAAAAGAATCTGTCATCCCCTAAGAGAGGAATACTTCATATAGTTGATGGGTACTGATGAGCATTGAGTCTTCTAGCAAATTGTCTTTGTGTCTAAAGAGTTTTGGTTGAAACATTTCTAATTCACTTTAGTGGACAGCTAGTTTGTAAACCAAACTTTCCGCTAGAAAATAAGAAAAATAAATATTGGATTGACAAACACATATTGAAGATCCAAAAAGAGAAGAAACTTGCAGGCTAAGCTTCAGGTCAGAGTTTAATCAGAGAGGTAGGTGGAGTAATAAACAGTAAAGCCACTTTCATTCATAATATCTCTATCCATAAACAAACACTTGAAGGCTAGAGAGCAAATATAACATAGTACCCAACCAATGCAGTTGCTCTTCTGGAAGTATTTTCTGACTTTCAGATGTTGCACATTTTTAGCTAACGATAAACCAGTTTTAAACTTGTTTTCCACATTCTACCTCTAACCATGTGAAATTGCTGCTGTGACTGTATACAAGTGGAGATAGAAAAGAGAAGCAAATGGAAAAAAAAAGCTCCTCTTAACCTTCACATGGATTGGTTACATAGTTACACATGGATTAGGCAAGCCAATGACTGTCAAACCTGGAATTTAATTTGAGCTTATTCCAACTGATGAAATATAATTGTTAAAGTAAAGACTAATAAGCAGCTGCATCCTAGTAAGCACAGCAGAAAAAAAAAACTTAAAACTAGAACCAATAACAAGAAGACAGTAGCATCTGACCCACGTAGCCTCAGAGCACTGTGTCTTTTGGCAAATTGGTGCTGTTTTTTCTCTTTAAAGTAGATGATAAACCGTAACAAATCTGAGAGAAACATTGAAATATTCCACTAACATGGTAAGACTAAAAAAGAAAAACAAAACAAAACTGCCAGATATGAATACTAAAATAGAAACCAGCCCAATTGTCTCATAAAACTGATGTTATGCTTTCTCTTAAATAAACAGAGAAATGACCTTCCCAGACTTAAAACTTAAGATGTGTTTCTCTTATCTGAGTTTTTTCTCAGGAAACTAACCTTTAGGCCTCCCAGATAATACCAACGAACAGAATTTTACCAAACCATTGCATCTGGACAATGAGATGCCAGACCCCTCTCCCTTTGTGATTGTGTAACTTACCACCAGCTTCCTGTTGACCAACTTCTCTTCCTTAACCCTCTGTAATTTTTGTTTTCCCATATGCAGTTACATTTGTTTTCTGCTATATGAACCCCTAATTTTAGCCAGTTGAAGGTATGGATGTGATGCCAATCTCCTGTCTCCTTGGCTGCAGAACCCGATGAAAGCCGCCTTGCCCAGCAATAGTCATTCTCTCAGTGACTGGCTTTCTGTGTAGTGAGCAATGGCACCTAGACTTAACCCTAGCATTTTGTTAATAGATTTTAGTTCCCTGATTGGGAGCACCTTACTCAGGGCTTAGCTGCTATGGGCCAGGGGAGTTTCTAAAGTCGTCCTAAGCAGCTGCCTAACCATTTTTTGGCCAGATGTGGGTTTCAGCCTCTCACTCTGTGGCTCCACCACTGCAGTCACCAAATATATTCCTGATTGGGTAGGAAGAACAGCCTTTTATTTTTGACATACATGACTAGAACGGTGAGTATCATTTGTGGGTACCAGAAAGCCAGTTCTGTTTCTCTCAATTGGAATAATTCTGAAGGAATTTTTATATGCAAATTGAACAAGCCCAGTTGATCAAGAGAAGAAAGTGCCCTGACTGTTTCAGTTTGGACACCCTTGGGCCCTATTTACTGCAGCAGCCGGATTGTGCTTTGGTGATTGGGTACTGTGTCAATACAGTCATACGAAGTTACAATACAATTAATGAATATTCTTTTCTAACACTGTTTGGCATCAATGTTCTTTGGAATCTAGAGAAGTCTGGCCTCTCCATAGGCCTCATTTTGCTATTGAATAAGAAACTGATGGAGTTCAGTGTATTCAGGCTTTTATGCTATGTTCTAAGCACGGTTTGGCCTCGTTAGTACAGGACGTTCTGTGGTGCTGTTTGGATCCAGTGTTCTTTGGAGTTTGGAGAAGTTTCGCCTTTAAAAATAAAATTGCCATGGAAACTGCTTTACCCAAAATTTTGGTTCACAGACTTAATTGGATTACCTATTGGAGTAATGATGCATCTGCATTGGTGGGTTCTCGGTCTCGCGGACTTCAAGAATGAAGCTGCAGACCCTCATGGTGAGGGTTACAGTTCTTACAGATGATGTGTCCAGAGTTTGTTCCTTCAGATGTTCAGATGTGTCCAGAGTTTCTTCCTTCTGGTGGGTTCGTAGTCTCGCTGACTTCAGGAATGAAGTTGAAGACCTTCACCGTGAGTGTTAGGCTTCATAAAGGCAGCGCAGAGGGAGCTCGTCGCTGATCAAGCCCAGCAGGCTCCGCCAGGCCCCGCCCAGTGCGGGGCCCTCAGAGGCTGCGCCCACGCAGGAACCCGCGCCAGGCCTGCGGGCTGCGCGCGCAGCCCAGGCTCCCGCCCGCGCCTCCCACTCCACACCTCCCAGCCAACAGAGGGAGCCGGCTGGCTGCAACCTCGGCCAGCCCCACAGAGGGAGCCCCGCAGACGGGCCCCCACAGCGCAGCTGCCAACTGAAGGGCTTCTCGAGGGTGGCCAGAGCTGATGCCAAGGCACAGGCTCCAAGAGCGAGTGAGGGCTGCTAACACATTGTCACCTTTCAATGAGGTAAGCAAAGTTTAGCTTTGAGAACGTGTTGATAGGCTGGGGAGTTTGTATTGCTATCACATGGCTAAAGTTCCAAGGTAAAAGCTATTTATGTGTCTATATACATGGTTAGATGTGTTTATATGTATGTACAATTATTATTCTTATGCCTACCAAATTGACTTATAAATAAAAGAGCACTGATAAATGAAGTAAATAAATTCAAGCAATTTTCAATTTCATGTGACTTAAGTACATCTTTAATAAACAAGCTAGCTTTAAAATTAGAGGTAAGATAAAAATAGATGTATCTTCAACAGTGTCAGTATACATTTTTGTCTGGGTTATATGTTTATCTCTGATAGATATTTTGAGATGTAAGGGTTTGGCACAGGTTAGTAAACTATAAAGCCAGCCAAAACAAAATTATCTTTGTGTGACAAATAAGACTAATTGAACGTTGTTAGCTTAATAAAAACGGCCAAATCTGAGTTATTGGCAAAAATGCCCATGCATTTAACTTCTCGTTTCTTAGGTGAACACCTGATGTTTACAAGCTATAAATAAAAATGGTTAACAAAGCAATTACTTGAAATGTTGGCTAACTTTGTCTAATACCAATTTTTGAGAAGTAATCTAGATAAACTGCAAACAAAAATGAAAGAATTGAGTACGTATAAATGGAATACATGCTTGTGGGTGAACTTTCTGTTTAAATTTAAATTTAATTTAAAATCTTCAAATGACTTTTGATGGTTCTTGGATGTCTGGGTCATTTGCAATAAAGAAGGGATTATGATATGGGTAATCATGCTTTTAAAAATGGTGAAATATTCTCATATATAAAATGCTAACATGTGATAGACAGTTCAGGATTTCCTGCTGATGGCAGCGGAAGCCTGTCTAGAGAGGCCGTTACAAAGACACTGGTTCCAGCAGGGGAGGCATGGCCAGGGTTGTACCTGGGCGCTGTGGATGACATGTTAATGGCAGCCGGAGGCAGACAGGTTCCTGGCTGGAAAAGGGAGGGTCCCTGGTGAAACCCCACCTTCAAGCCAGGGATAGCTTGAAGCTTGGGTGGCTGGGCTGCCAGTTCTGGGTAGAGTCTGTGGCCTGGAGTGAGAATATATGGTGCTTTTTCCAGGCCCACCCTTGGCTACCCATGGACCAATTGGCATGTACTTCCTCTTCCTTCTGAGCCCATAGAAACCCTGGACTCAGTCAGACTCACACAGACGTGGGAATGACCTGCCTGTGGAAAGGAGCTACCCAGTTCGGTTCTCCTTAGAGCTCTTCTGTCACTCGAAGCTTGTCTCTGCCTTGCTCTTCCTCCAGTCATCCATGTATCTCATTCCTCCTGGACACAGGACAAGAACTCGGGACCCACCTAATGGAGGGACTGAAAGAGCTTTAACACAAGCAGGGCTGAAACACACCCCTCACTTCCCATATTGTAGGTGACGAGGAGAGAAGAGCTGTGGCCCTTCAGGGAGCCCAGACCTATGGGCTCCCCAAGTCAGGGATGTGACACCCTCTTTGGGGTTCTGTGGTTCCTGGCATCTCAAGATTTATTTATTTATTTACTGTTTACTTTGCATTTTATTTATATATATATATATATATATAAAATCATTGATATATTTTAGTTTTGCATTTTATTTATATATACATATATAAAATCATTGATATATTTTAGTTTATAATGGAAGGTTTATGTTTGCTTCTATGAATAGTCATTTTGTTTCTTATGCATTTCCAACAGTTCATCATTTCCTCTATTTTTCTAAAATTCCTAAGCTATCTTTGTCAAGCCTCCACAAAATGAAGAGCACACTAGCAATTTAAAAAATAAATAAAATTGAATAGTTTTGTTTATCTCTAAGGATTTAGAGAGATATAAGAGCTTCAGTTTCCTGGGCAAAAATAAAAGGTAAAATACTGATTTTTAAAAGTCTAAACAAAAATGATACATTATTTATTTTATTATTCGGAAAAGTGGAGGGGAGAAGAAATGTTAAAATAACTTTTATTTCCAAGATAATTTAATACAGTCAATAATTTGAATTGGTTTCAGATCTTTTCCTTTAGGTAATTAGGAAATACTTGATATGCATACAAAGTCTTAATATTCTAAAAAGATTATAATTGTTCTTAAGAAAATTAAATTGACTGGGTACAGTGGCTCACCCCTATAATCCCAGCATCTTGGAAGGCTGAGATAGAAGGAACACTTGAAACTTGAATACTTGAATCCGGGAGTTTGAGATCAGCATTGGCAACATAGTGAGACCTTGTCTTTGTAAAAAATTAACAAAATTAGCCAAACATGGTGGTGCATGCCTATAATCCCAGCTACTTGGGAGGCTGAGGCAGGAGGATCCCTTGAGTCTAGGAGTTTGAGTCTGTAGTGAGCTATGATTGCACCACTGTACTTCAGCCTGAGTGACACAGCAAGATCCTAACAAGAAAGAGAAAGAAAGAGAGAGAGAGAGAGAGAGAGGGAGGGAGGGAGGGAAGGAAGGGAAGGAAGGAAGGAGGAAGGAAGGAAGGAAGGAAGGAAGGAAGGAAGGAAGGAAGGAAGGAAGGAAGGAAGGGAAGGAAGGAAAGAAAGAGTAAAAAAAGAAAATGATATTGATTGGGATTTTCTCAAATTATTTTAGTTGTGTTTACCATTATTAAAATTAAGTGACCTTCACTTGGATAGGAATACAAAAAGTTAAATTTTTTAGTGATTTTAAAATCACTGTTAAGCCTTCATGTATGCAGTTGAAAATAAAATATATATAATCGTTGCTCCAGTTTGAAGAATGCAGTGGTGAAAGTTACCAAATCAGTTGTCAGTACTGTATCTAGAAACCAATCTTGGAAATATGTGATAATAGTCTTTTAAAATAGTTGGCAAGAAATTATTGTGTGGTTGTTCTTACGTTGTCTTTGTTTCGTTGCATAACATTTAAATGTAAGGAGATTATTTATACTCATACTGAATTTCAAGAATTGATATTTGCATTTCCTTTTTCTTGATAAAGAGAAAAGTTCATTGTCTTACTTTGATAAGTTTGGCATATGACCTGTCACATTTTTTATGCTTTTAGTCACTGTTCTGTTACTAGAATGCTAGCAATTAGACATACACAAGGCATAACTTAACCACTGTAATAAAATGGTTTGAGGTGCTGCAGTCAGTAGCTACTAGACACCAAATCACAGTGTTTTAATTTATGGTGTGTTGGAGAGAATGGTAGGACTTTCTGCAGTGTAAATGTCTTATTAACTGAACGTTAAATGCAGCACTTTGACTTCCGTATCCAAAAAAGGATCCAACTTCTGCTATATCTTAAATCACTGACACCAAAGTCTCAACTTCAGATGTGGAAGAAGGTGACAATCAAAATCAACTGCTTTTGTGAGACACAGGTCCAAAAATAAAACCTATTTAATTCCTCTGGGCCCAGAGACGATCACAGAAGAGGTGAACATGTGAGATTGTAAGGGCTAATTCTGAGGGATACAATTAGTTCAGAGTTTTTCTATAAATTAAACAGTAATATCAAAAACACACAGATGCAAGGCCATTATGTGGACTCCTGTGTCAGAATAACCAGGTTTTTTGGAGCACGGATCTTCTTTTTAATACAAAATTGTAAAAGGTTATTAAAGGTTTATGGAAATACTACCTTATAGTAAAACTGATTAAAATTAGATTGATTTATTTATAAGAATTTATTAAAAATAGCTTTAACATTAATAACACACCTTCCAAAGGAAAATTTGTTTTTTCTGTTTTGAACAAAATTTTGTGCAATATTAATGAGATAATATAACATTTTTATCTTTTGAGTAAACTGCAGAAAAAAGGGACAGGGGAGTGACAGATTTAGTTGGCCTCATGCTGTCTTTATTAGGTCTTAATGTTTGGGAAACTAAATCTCCTCTCTATCGAAGTGTAAATGCTTCCGTTTTATCATTTTGTCTCAATAAATGGCTATCTCATAGTGATCTGTGATCTTATTTTGTGACATAGAGTTTGTAAACCTCTGATTTTTGATAAACTTTCTGAAAGCAAAATTTGAAGTTTTAAATTCAGTATTTTTGACTGCAAACTTTGTTTTCGATGTTAGCGCCCCTGAAGTCCAAGAGAGATGCATTCGGGTTATATTATATGTTAGAATTATACAGGAAACATTGTTAAATATGAGGTGTTAACTTTCTTTGAATTACATTGATATAGATGTGTTATTACTATGTGTTCCAAGATTGCCTGAGATTCCTGAAATTCTTACATGTCTTAATATATCTTGGCAGTAATGATTTATTATTATTAATTGTGATATACCACAGAAGCAACCAAATTTCCTTGTCAACTATGTCTTTAACTATGGCTGTCCTAAGACTTTTGTCATCCACAATTAGTCTCTTTTTAAAAATTTGTTTAATTCTTCTCAAAAAATGGCTTATAATCAGCTATAATCAAGGGCTTGCTTTTTGGGGGGAGTTCATTAAAGGACTCTTGAATGCAAGTTTCTCAGAACTTAGGAGATCGTGCCATTGGACTAGAGAGAAAACTTCCAAGACTACAATTAAAAGGCTAATGTGTTCATAATATGGTTAACTCAATATGAAGCAGAGCCAGAGTTGATTGCATAGATTGAAATATTGCTGATTCTTTTTGCTTTATTTTTCAGGGTCTGAAGAACAATTTTCTTTTGTATTATTCATAGCCTTTAACTATTGAGTAAAGTATACCCTTATAAACAGAATTTTAGGCATATTTCTCTATCTCTGCCTGATTTCTACAGAATTCATAAGTATTTATGAATGTTCTTAATTCATGAGAGTGTGGTTTTTTGCATAAGTTCGATAAGAGTATTTTAATAATGGGACACAATTGGAGGCACTGATTATTTTATCATTAATTTGACTGGAATGGCATGTTTTTGGATATAAGCAGATTGCTCTAAAAAATTGAAATTGACTTTATAGAGCTAATGAGAGCCTCTTGGAAGGGTTGGCTTTATACC